TGTCATTGTTGTTTGGCGGGTCCGGGCTGGGGATTCGAACCTGCCACCTTAGGTGTACGTGGCTGGCACCTTAGCCGGTTGAGCTATAGGTGCCGAGCCAAGCTTCTCCATTCTTGTGATGCTTTACTAAAAATAATGTGTTCCACTTCCATCCAGGTTAATACAAAAGCTGTAAAGTCTCCATTTTTTTTAATGGCTGAATAGTGGTGTACATATACCACAGCTTGTTTATCCATTCCTGGGTTGGTGGGCATTTAGGCTGTTTCCACATTGTGGCAATTGTAAATTGAGCTGCGATAAACAGTCTAGTGGAAGTGTCCTTATGATAAAAGGATTTTTTTCCTTCTGGGTAGATGCCTAGTAATGGGATTGCAGGATCAAATGGGAGGTCTAGCTTGAGTTCTTTTGAGAGTTCTCCATACTTCTTTCATTTGCAGTCACCCCCTTTTTACATTTTAAAGAATTTTGTACAGCAGCAATTTTCATTTCATATGTGAAAGGTAGTGTTTTTCTCTTGGTCTCTATAGTTTCTTTGAGATTTGTCTGTAATTAATTGTTTCTCTCTTTTTAGGTAGTAAAAATGAAAAGTAATTTGGAACGATTCCAAGTTACAAAGCTCTGCCCATTCCAAGAAAAAATTCGGAGACAGTATTTAAGCACAAATGTAAGGCAACAACCTGATTTGGGCCTGAATTTTCTTTGTTTGTAGTATAATGATGAAATTAACTTTTTTTCTTAATTTCTTCTTTTCTGTTGCTTATAGTACTATGTTTTTAATTGTAAAATGTGTAAGTTTTGAGAAGAGAGTATAAAGTACATATTTTTTTAATTTCAGAATATTATGGGGGTACATATATTTTGGTTACATAATTTGTGATACATATTTTTTAAATAGTAAAACAAGCATATATGCACTCAACCAACTGGAAAAGTAATAGACTATTACCATAACCCATTCCCTGATTTTCTCTGTTTAGTTGTATACCACTCTGCCTATCCTCTAGAGATGATAATTATCCAGGCATTTGTGATAATCATCTCCACATTTTTCTGTATAGATTTATAACATATTTATACATTCTTACAAATTTGTATTATTAATTTGGAAAAAATGAATAGCAAGCACAAACTTACCAATATAGGCAGAATGGGTAGTATCTGATGATAAACCAAATGGTTCTGGGTCCTTTGGCTCAACTTTACTGATTGTCAATAGCTGGGAAGGTCAGTGGGTAAGATAGTTAGCTTGATTCTGTGGCTCTTGTGTCTGTAATCTTGACACTCTTAAAGGCCAGGGCAGGAGGATCATTTGAGCTGAGGACTTGAAACCAGCCTGAGCTGGTGAGACCCTGTCTCTACTAAAAATAGAAAAATTAGCCAGGCAGCTTTAGTCCCAGCTACTCAGGAGGCTGAGGTAGGAAGATCACTTGATCCCAGGAGTTGAGGTTGTTGTTAGCTAGAATGGCATTCTAGCCAGGGCAACAGAATGAGATTCTGTCTCAAAAAGAAAAAAAAAGGGTTGGCATACATAGCTCAGTGGTTAGGATGCCAGCCACATATACCGGGGCTAGCGGGTTTGAACCCAGCCTGGGCCTGCTAAATAACAGTAACAACTGCAACAAAAAAAATAGCCAGGCATTGTGGCGGGCGCCTGTAGTCCCAACTACTTGCGAGGCAAAGGCAAGAGAATCCCTTAAGCCCAAGAGTTTGAGGTTGCTGTGAGCTGTGGCACCACAGCACTCTACCAAGGGTGACATAGAGAGACTCTGTCTCAAAAAAAAGAAGGAAGAAAGAAAAGAAAATTAAAGGTCACTTTATGCCCATGATTTTTGGCAGTTTGGGGGTTTGGTTTTTTGGTGTGGTTTATTGGGGGTTTTTTGTTGTTTGTTTTGTGTTGGGTTTTTTTTGAGACAGTCTCACTTTCTTACCCCTAGTACAGTACTGTGGCATCATAGCTCACAGCAACCTCAATCTCTTGAGCTCAAGGAATTCTCTTGCCTCAGCCTCCCAAGTAGCTGGGACAATAGGTGCCTGCCTCAATGCCCAGCTGTTTTTTAGAGACAGAGTCTCACTCTTTCTCATGCTGGTCTCCAACTCGTGAGCTCAAGTGATCCACCTGCCTCGGCCTCCCAGAGTGCTGGGATTACAGGTGTGAGCCACTGTGCCCAGCCAGCAGTTTTTGTTTTTGTTTTTGTTTTGAGACAGAACCTCAAGCTCTGTCTCTGAGTAGAATGCTGTGGTGTCACAGCTCATAGCAATCTCCAGCTCCTGGGCTCAAGTGAGATTCTCCTGCCTCTGCCTCCCAAGTAGCTATGACTACAGGCACCTGCCACTGCCACAGCGCCTGGCTATTTTTTGGTTACAGCTGTGGTTGTTTGGCGGGCCTGGGCTGTATTCAAACCCACCAGCTCAGGTGTATGTGGCTGGCGCCTTAGCCGCTTGAGCCACAAGCGCCAAACCCATGTCAGGTATCTTTTTTTTTTTTTTTTTTTGAGACAGGAGCCTCAAGCTGTCCCCCTGGGTAGAGTGCCGTGCCATCTCAGCTCACAGCAACCTCCAACTCCTGGGCTCAAGCGAGTCTTCTGCCTCTGCCTCCCAAGTAGCTGGGACCACAGGCGCCCACCACAACGCCCGGCTATTTTTTGGTTGCAGCCTTCATTGTTGTTTGGCGGGCCCGGGCTGGATTCAAACCCGCCACTTTGGGTGTACATGGCTGGCGCCTTAGCCACTTGAGCCATAGGCGCCAAGCCCCGTGTCAGGTATCTTAAGAAGAATAGTACAATCATGCGTTACTTAATGATAGGGTTGTGTTCTTAGAAATTCATCCTTAGTTTCATTGAACATTACAGAATGTAACACAAACATAGGTGGTACGGCCTACTAGGCTATTGCTCCTAGGTTACATACCTATACAGCATATTACTATAGCAGAAACTGTAGGCAGTTGTAACACAGTGGTAAATATTTTTATCTCTAAACATAGAGAAAGTAAAACAGAAATCCAATATGAAAGATTAAAAAATGGCACCTTCTCGATACTACCATGAAATCAATATATAACCACCTGCACAATCATACTAATGGCAAAACATAACTGTAGTCCATAAAGTAGAAGGGAAGAGGAGAGAGGAGTGGGGAGAGGGGATATTGGAGAAGGAAGAGTATTCAGGGGGCTCTCACCTAATGTACATGATACAATGGTACATTTCAAAACTATTAAGAAATGAGTATAATTGTGATAGATGTGTTACTTGGTTCAATGTAAGCATTTCACATTGTATATTGAAACAGTACTCTGAACCCCATAAATGCATCAATGTACAAAGTTATGATTTAATAATAATTATAAAAATAATAATAAATGGCACCTGTGTATAGGGCACTTGCCATGAACGGGTCTTACAGAACTGGTAGTTGCTCTCGCTAAATCAGAGAATGAATGGTAAATGAATAGGAAAGCCTCTGAAGACTTTATAAACCCTATACACTTAAGCTGCCCTAAATGTATTTATTTCTGTGTGTTTTGGTGTATTGTTTTGTTTTGAGACAAGAGTCTTACTTTGTTGCCCAAGGCAAGAGTGCCATAACATCATGGCTCACAGCAACCTCAAACTCCCGGGCTTAAGTTTTCATGCTGGTCTTGAACTCCTGAGGTCACCCTCCCAGAATACTTGGATTACAGGTGTGAGCCACTATGCCCGGCCTCCTAAATTTATTTGAAAATTTTTTTTCTCTGAATAATAAATTAACCTTAGCTTATTGTAACATTTTATTTTATAAACTTTAATTCTATTAACTTTTAGACACTATTTGTAATAATACTTAAAACACAGCACCTTGTGCAGCTGCACAAAAATATTTTCTTCATATTCTTATTCTGTAAGCTTTTTTTCTATTCTTAATTTTTTTTTCCTCTTTATAAACCTTTTTTTTTTTTTTTTGGCTGGGGCTGGGTTTGAACCCACCACCTCTGGCATATGGGGCTGGCGTCCTAACCCTTTTGAGCCACAGGTACCACCGTATAAACGTTTTTTTTTTTTAACTTTAAGACACAAACACTCACTCAAGGCCTCCACCAGGCCAGGATTATCAGTGTCACTTCCACATCCACATCTTTTACCACTGTAAGGTCTTCAGAGGCAGTAACATGCATGGAGCTGTCATCTCCTATGCTAGGAATACCTCCTGAACCTCCTGCTGTTTTACATTCTAAAATAATTATTTAATAATATAATAAATAAACAAAACAATAACAGAGTCATTTATTATCCTTAGCAAGTATTATGTGCCATACTAGATGATAGGAATTTTTCAACTTTTGTTATATTCTTATGGGACCACTATCATAACGAGGTCTGTCATTTGTTAACCAAAATGTCATTATGTGGCGCATTACTATAGTTAAAAACATAAGATTCGATATTTCAATAAGGATAATTAAAAAGGGATTTTTAGCAAGTATTTAATCCCTAAAAAATGTTAGGTGGGTTTTCTGAAAATGTAAAATAACATTGCTTATAATCAGAAAAGAGTGGAGACTATCTTCCCATAGGAGGGCAAGAAGGGCAGGTAGTCATGTGCCTTCTCAGTTCCTTACAACTGCGTGGAGGACTGTACTGTGTTGAAGTGTCCTGAGGCCATATGCACAGCCTCACAGGAGGAAGTGGTGGTCAGGTTTTGTTTTCTTGAAGAGTCTCATTCTGTCACCCATCTCTTCTACTTGGTACTACTGTAGAACCCCTGCTGCCCTTCAAGTAGGATAAATAATTTTGTAAGTTTCCAGACAGAGCTTAAAAGCACAATTGTCTCCACTACCCCCAGTAATAACAGGTGTGGCAAACAGGAGGGGTTTTTTCTTAACTCTGTGCCTCTTGAATTCGAATCATTGAGATGCTAAGAGAATTTAGGACTTCTTGATCTGCATCCCTGTCTTTCCAGAGTTGACTTACAGACTGTAAGACTTTACTTCCAACCACACAAACACTATCACTCTCCAAGGAAACAGATACCCAAGGACTACTTCATAAGCCAGTGTGAGGCAAGTGTGGGATGGTAACTGCAGTCCCAGCTACTTGAGAGGCTAAGAACAAGGAGTTTGAGGCTAATGTAAGCTATAATTGTACTACTACTACATTCCAGCCTGAGCAACATAGTGAGATACTGTCCTTAAAAAAAAAAAAAAAAAAAGGG